GAAAAAAGAACCATTAGATTGTGTTTGAAATAGCATAATAAGCAAGCTAAATTAGATTGTTAGATTGTAAAGAACCTGCCCTTGAACTTTTTGGTAACCAATCTAAAGCCTGCAATGGCAATAAATACATATCTATCGATAATCACCCTAAATGTAAATGGACTTAATGCACCAATCACAAGACAGAGTTACAGAATGGATAAGAAAACAAGACCCATCTATATGCTGCCTATAAGAGACTCACCTCAAACCCAAAGACAAACACAGAATAAAAGGAGAGGGATGGAAAAAGATAATTCATGCAACTAATAGGGAGAAAAAAGCAGAAGTTGCAGTACTTGTATCAGATAAAATAGACTTCAAAACAAAGAAAGTAACAAGAGACAAAGAAGGACATTACATAATGATAAAGGGGGCAGTCCTACAAGAGGATATAATTATTATAAATATATATGCACCCAACACAGGAGCACCCACATATGTGAAACAAATACTAACAGAATTAAAGGGGGAAACAGAATGCAATGCATTCGGTTTAGGAGACTCCACTCACTCCAAAGGACAGATCAACCAGCAGAAAATAAGGAGGCAGAGGCACTGACCAACACATTAGAACAGATGGACCCAACAGGCATTTACAAAACACTCCACCCAAAAGCAGCAGGATACACATCCTTCTCAAGTACACATGGAACATTTTCCAGAATAGATCACTCACTAGGCCACAAAAAGAGCCTCAGTAAATTAAAAAACATTGAAATTGTACCAACCAACTTCTCAGACCACAAAGGTATGAAACTAGAAATAAATTATGTAAAGAAAAAAAACCCCACAAACACATGTAGGCTTAACAACATGCTCCTAAATAATCAATGGATCAATGACCGAATAAAAACAGAGATCAAGCATTATATGGAGAACAATAATTCAACACCACAAAATCTGTGGGACGCAGCAAAGGCCGTGCTAAGAGGGAAGTATATTGCAATACAGGCCCACCTCAGGAAAGAAGAACAATCCCAAATGAACAGTTTAAACTCACAATTAACAAAACTAGAAAAAGAAGAACAAATGAGGCCCAAAGTCAGTAGAAGGAGGGACATAATAAAGTTCAGAGCAGAAATAAATAAAATTGAGAAGAATCAAACAATAGAGAATTAATGAAACTATAAACTGGTTCTCTGAGAAAATAAACAAAATAGATAAACCCCTAGCCAGACTTAGCAAGAAAACGAGAGTCTGCACACATCAACAGAATCAGAAATGAGAAAGGAAACATCACTATGGACACCACAGAAATACAAAGAATTATTAGAGAATTCTATGAAAAATTACATGCTAACAAGTTGGATAATCTAGAAGAAATGGACAACTTTATAGAAAAATACAATCTTCCAAGACCGACCCAGAAAGAAACAGAAAATCTGAACAGACCAATTACCAGCAATGAAATTGAAGCGGTAATCAAAAAACTACCTAAAAACAAAACCTCTGGAACAGATGGCTTCACCACTGAATTTTATCAAACATTAAGAGAAGACCTAATACCCATCTTCTTTAAAGTTTTCCAAAACATAGAAGAGGAGGGAATACTCCCAAACTCATTCTATGAAGCCATCATCACTCTAATACCAAAACCAGGCAAAGACACCACAAAAAAAGAAAATTACACACCAATATCCCTGATGAACATAGATGCAAATATACTCAACAAAATATTAGCAAACTGAATTCAAAACTACATAAAAAAGATCATCCATCATGATCAAGTGGGATTCATCCCAGGGATGCAAGGATGGTTCAACATTTGAAAGTCCATCAACATCATCCACCACATCAACAAAAGGAAGGACAAAATTACTTGATTGTCTCCATAGAAGCTGAAAAGGCATTTGACAAAATTCAACACCCATCATGATAAAAACTCTCAACAAAATGGGTATAGAGGGCAAGTACCTCAACATAATAAAGGCCATATACAACAAACCCACAGCCAATATCGTACTTAACAGCAAAAAGCTGAACGCTTTTCCTCTAAGATCGGGAACAAGACAAGGATGCCCATTCTCCCCACTTTTATTCAACATAGTTCTGGAGGTCCTGGCCAAGGCAATCAGACAACAAAGAAATAAAAGGAACACAGACTGGTAAGGAAGAAGTTAAACTGTCACTGTTTGCAGATGACATGATATTGTACATAAAAAACCCTAAAGAATCCACTCCAAAACTACTAGATCTAATAACTGAATTCAGCAAAGCTGCAGG